TTCTCTTTTCTCTTTCTTTTTTTTCTTGCTTTCTGGCTTTTTTCTCTCTTTTTCTTTCCTGTTAGGAAATTATTTAACTTCGCCGCCGAAGATGAACGCCAAAAACAATATAATAAATAATGTCGTCATCTGCAGTCTATATAGCCTAACCATCACTAATGTGGATAGTCAGAAATATCCTGGCAATAGCCAGAGCGAGTGCTTAAATATTGGTTTCGGGACGGAGATTCTCGGGAATTGGCTTAGCCTTCTTATATACAGCAATTGCAGAGGGAGGAAGAAAAAGAAGAAAAGGCGTGCTTGTGGGACCGCAATATGTGTTGTTGTTCGATGGTGCGCAATGTCGCAATTTGATTCTGGCGCGTTTGACGGATAATCCAGAGCATTGACGATCAAGATTGTCAATGATCAACAGTGCTATTTGTAGCTGTAGGAGAAGTGATGTTTGGGAAGTCTTGTTTTGCTTGTTGATTAGATTCATGTATGGTTGGAATGATTGCTGAAAGCTGCAGATGTGAAGATAGTGGTTTGTGGGATGCTTAAGAGCGACAATCCTGGAAGGTGTTTATGTTGTTTTTGCATGGCCGTCTGGAGTATTGTTAAACGTCCAGGTTGATGTGTTACTGGGAATGATGGCTGAACAAAGTGCAGTGCACAAACGGTGATTCATGCTGCGAAATGAACTATGGCTGGGACCCAAAGGGAGATGACTGTTCCTTGTCTGGTTGCTTGCACTTGAGGCTGACTCATGACTCGGCAAGCCACGTTTTTAAATTGTCCCCAATGTTTGACAAATGACTTTGCAACTTCTGGACATCTTTGTATTGCAACTATTCTGAGGTAATTTCCTATCGGCCAAGCTGCTTACTGATCGTGTTAATGTAGGTAGTTCCAGCAAGCCGGAATGTGTCAGGCTCAGCATGGCTATTCCCTGGCACAAAAAGGAAGTTTTGACCGAAACCTCCTGTGTTATTGTACAAAGGCCACTCCTTGACTCCGACAATCCCGTGGTTGTTTGGATTCAAGTCATTAATGAAGCTCACCCACATGCGACTCATCAAGTTTGCCAAATCGTTGAGGTCCTGGTTGCTCGTTGGGAAGATGCCAGCATTTTCTGCGTAGCCTTGGCCTTCAAGGTTGTAGAAGACGTAGGCAACCTCGGCGAAATGACTGCTGCCCAGAGGTGGACTGGTCTCTCCTGAAAGCGGTGATCCCGCGATCATTAGTCAAATGTGTTCAAAACGGGGAAATACTGTGTTCGGGCGCGCGTGACTTACGAGCAGAAATAGGGCCGTCAAAGTGATACGAGTAGAAAGGCATATCATACTCGTAGTAAGCATCGCTACGTCGACGCCGCCAGCTGAGGAAGCCATTGTCTGTTTGTATGGTGACATAGCGCTTGAATTGGCGACCGACGGAGCCGTCCAGAGGCGTCTGGTATCCAGCAGGCAAGGTTAGGGCATCGATATCAGGGTAGAGAGCTAGCATTATCTTCACAGCCTCGTTATCAAAGCCGGCATTGACCAGGCTTGCAGCGAGTTCCTCTTCAGTGTCAATAGTAGAACCGCCAAACAAAGTACCCTCATCGCTGTTGGTACCAGCAAGCATTGGAGTCCTGGTGAACTTTCCATCCTGGAGAAGGACAGACGGATAATCGGTGAGGAACTCCCCGTCGACCATGGGTCCGAACCCGCCACTGGTATTGTTCACGATTGCACTGTTGAGAACCTCAAATGGCGCCTCGCGAAGACACGCAAGGGTGTCAGCTGCCTCATCGCATCCGGTAGCGATCGTAAGGTTGTGATATGCAGCATTGCGAGTCTCGAGTGACTTCATGGCACTTCCATCGGCACCACTTTGGGAAATGATGCCGCGATACAGACTCTCGTCCTGTCCATCGTAGGCTAGAGCCTGGAATCCGACGCTACCACCGCCGGCACTCTCTCCAAATATGGTGATTTTCTTTGGGTCACCCCCAAAGGCCTTGATGTTGTCCTTGATGTAGCGGAGAGCCACACGCTGATCCTTTAGACCCATGTTACCGATTCCAGCATCGAGAGCCTCCTGCGACCCAAGAAAACCCCAGGCAGACAGGCGATAATCCAGCGAGACACCAATGATGGGTTTGTTCATTTTCACGGACTGGCTCACCATCCAGCTCATGTTGTACACGCCATTTGCGCTATAATCCATGGTCCAGCCACCACCATGGATGAAGACGCCTACCGGCAGCAGTCCATTCCCAAGTGAACCCGAAGGGCGAACGACGTTGAGTGTCAAGCAATCTTCTCCCAGCGTAAAGGGCCAGGCCGCACTATTCTAGTGGTGAGTAGAGTCAGCAGCTATCAGAGGAAAATATCATATGAGTATGCGAGTCTTACTCCATATCCGACACACGAGTCGGCGTATTCAGTAGCGTTCTGGACCCCGTCGAAGGTTGCATTCAGAGGCTGAGGATTTTGGAAGCGCAAATCGCCGACAGGAGGCTGCGCGTAAGGAATACCGAGAAAAAGGTCCTGGTCATATCCCGCAACGTATTTGCCTTGGTATGTTCCTTGCTGGACCACGACCTGAGGCAAAGCAGCGACAGAGGCCAACTTCATCAGCGCAATGGTTTTGAAGATGTTTGCGCTGATCATCATGTCGACTGTGATTCAGAACTGCGACGCTGATCCGAGAGTTGTTGTCTCGAGAATAACCCGGACTTTCGGTAACAGGAGAGCAAATGCGTAGATGCCATTCTTGTAGTCATTTATGTAGACATAGGCTCTTCAATATTGACCCAATTTGCGTATGCAGCTTGTGTAGGATCGGTTGAGGTCATCCACAGCACCCCAGGTTCCCCAGATTTTCTCCATGGGGTCAAGTGGTGCACGTATGTCCAGAAATGGCAAGATTAAGCACCACTGCTTCCTGGAAATGATTAGAGTATGTCCAAGCCGACAAATTTGGAGTACGAGCCGCATTCTTAGGTCATCAATACGACGTACAAACTAGAAAGTTCTAATGCGACCTTTTCTGTTTTTGGTCAGTTCGACGTTCAACATTCGGAAGAAGATGAATCATCGAAACTTTTTGACCAGGTCTCAAGTAGATTCATAACCACCTCAAGAGACTGAATTGGCAAAAGTCTTTCTCTCTCTTCTCCCCTCCCCACTCCCTTTTGATAAGGAAGGAAAAAAAGAAGAAGAAGGAGGGAATTTCTTCGCCTAAATATAATGAGTACAATTCCAGGCTGTTGAGGCTACGCTGTAAAATTGAATGCCGCGGGCATCAAGGTTTGAATTGAGAAATGTGATTGGGCGCTGCTTCATCTCATATAAGCATACGCGCATGGGCTCACTACGTGATTATGCCTCGACGGATAATCCCGAACGTTTGGCAGTGATAGTATACTTTCCATCTCTTCACGAGTTTCGTGTATGTTGACGCAGGTACGTGCGAGCAAACTTGAAGTCATTCTCCAGTAGGCAGGCTAGAGAATAGTCCTTGACCGAGTGAGGTAGACTACAGGTTCTTACCATGGGATGCATGAAGATGAGGAACTGTGCAGTTATTCCAAATCATTGAAAGGCTCATGAGGTCCTTGACGGCAGGATGGCTGACAGACCCTGCTTCAACCAACCTGTAAAGTCCCAAGTATCTGGCACTCGATAGGTAGATCCCGTTCCGCCTTTGATTTTGAGTTTCGGGTCTGCGGAAGGATCCATCGATCCGGCTGGCGACGTGATATCGTATGAGGAGCAGCTCCGCTCATGTCGCACGATGATCACAATTGGCAGTAGAAGCTAAGCATCAGCCTCATTTGCATGCACGCACCAACGCTGTCTATACCGTCGGCCACGTGGAATATAGCTCAGATTAGGCCAGGATTCGGCGCAGAGGCTGTCTCCAGTAGCGTGCAGGTTATGGCTGGGCTGGGCTTGGGTGGCCGTTGGAGGTTGAATAGATAGGGCTGGCAAGCTGGTAGTAATAGGCCGTGCTCCCGACTGACTCGAGAGTCAATGGGAAGGCCCTGGCATCCATTCGGCCGACGTCTCGTGACTTGAATGCGGGCCTAGAGAGCCACGTTGCTAGCGAGAACCGACCGATCTGCAAGGCGTATGATGCAAATCTGGGACGATTCCATAGGAGGTTCTGGGGAATCTCATTTCCAAAAGATTATAGTCTGCAGAAAGATAGACTGGCGGCCATGGAATCATTTTACAAACTTCCCATCTCGCTGGGTGACTACCTGAGTAATTAGGTTGATGGGGTCTGAACTCACCGCCTACCTTTTCCACAGGCCGATTTGATTCTGGAAGCCAAAGTCTCGGTGGCAATTGACCGGAAAACCCGTGAATTGTGCTCGCTGCGAGATGCCCCGAGCACGACATACACCGAGGACCGACTGTCGCAACGCCATTCATTGAATTATCTCGAAATGAAGATTTCACGGGAAGATACGGGTATGTACGGAACAGAAAGACATTTCTCATCGTGTGCGACTGCGATAATGCAGCCAATTCAATGATCGGTAGGCTATTACCTACACACAATATTTAGAGCTTGGCCATGAATGCAGATCATTCCAACTCCAAAAAGGGCGTTGCTTGCTTTTTTTTTTTTGGCCTTGGGGCTGCTCCTTTCAGTTTGGGGCAGTCGAGGCGGGGAGAGTTGCTGTAATGGTGGGGTAGGGGCCTGGGTGCGGACCTAGTCCCGCACTACTGGCCAGTGTGTTGGGGTTGGTATCGCGGGGTTGCTGCTTATCGCCTACGCTATCTCCTAAGGCATGCCGAACCCCTTCGTTAGATTGACGTAGTCTTCCTCAAGCGAGTGCGATCAGCGGCCATTTTTGCGTGTTTGCTTTTACAGCTTTCTCGGTAATCGTAAAAGTGCACACTCCCAAGAGTATGCAGGACAACACTGCATCAATATCTCAAAGGTGCTGTAATATATTCCGTGTCCTGACAAACTCTGTGCGCATGGGTCGCGGTCCTCTTTTTTTTACGGAGCTCTAGGGCTCTAGTGATTACGCTGCCACTCGTGTAATTGGTGCCCAGTGGGCTCTTCATTCCCCAGACCCCATTTCACCAGAGTGCGGTGACTAATCAGTATCTTGATATGGATCATCAGTCACGCTGTCAAAGTTGCCTTCGCTAAGCATGAAGCTATGCAGAGTCAAAAGGAGCAGTATCAATGGTAAGCAATATGCTGTGTGCCTGTGTGCATGCATGAATGGATGAACGGAGGTCTTTTGCAAAATGCGAGCTTAGGTGGTTGCCGATGGATGCATACTAGAGGGACTGGCCCTGTCGACGGCGGCCATGTCTCCAAAGCTAACCTGGTAAGCTAAACCCAACTAATCCCCGCCATGCAGGGTGCGGGGAAAGGGGACGGTGCAAAGGCGAAGGGCAAACTGGCAGAATCCAGATGAGCATCAGCAAATAGTTACAATCGGCAACGTCTAATTACCAACGGACTATGCACAAATCGTTGAAGATGGTGGGCTGAGAGACGCTATATCGCACCTTGATTGGACAGCGTACTCTTCAGAGCTCACCGTGATTTGTGGCTCGAATCTATGCACAGCTGAGTAGGTAGTTGGAGTCCCCCAAATTCGATTCCGCTCGGAAACACGTCCAGGCATATGGATGGAATCATGCAGAGCACGGTACTTGATGCATCAGGTGGACGATCACAGCTGTATTGCCGTAAAGCCATGTCTTCCATTGATCCCTTGGCCTTTCACTAGTACAAACAAACATCCTAAACTTCCGAGGAATAGTTCCGCTCCGTTTCGTCAGTCGCCGTCCTTTCTGGTACCTTGCCGTCCTCGCGCAGCTGCATTTTGGGGGTGTGTGAGTTAGCTCATGAAACGCAAAGGGGGAAAGCAACTGGGCAGATCGTGGAGCCTTGGTAGACCAGAAGGGTACCGATCGGACATGTCTGAAGTACTACAGTATAGGCAGATATCCTCGGCATATTGTTGTCTGCGTTCTCTCGACCCAGTACCACGCTAGGTGCATACTCCGTGGCCACCGTTCATCGAGTTCACGCAAACCCTCTCCACATTGGTCAAGCAGTGGTGACACAGCTCCATCCTTGGCCACTTATAGCTCCCTTTCTGCTACCCCGCCTCTATAATAATATTTATTACCTTGCTGTCCCTCCTCCAACCAAAGATTTCTGTCCCATATCATTGCCTCTTTCACTCAGCACTTTTCTTACAACCACTATTTCTCCAAACGAGTCTGAATACTCTTCTCGACGAACTGTATCAGATCATTCCATTGCTCAAACTATCCATCGATACCCATATACCCCAAAGGCACACATTCTCACATTCACAATGACTCTGTCGATTGAGCTCAAGACGCCTATTACGGGCGCGTACCAGCAGCCCACTGGTTTGTATGTGAACTTGCCTCACCCGCGCGTATACACCACAACCCTCGAAACTTTAAGCTAATTTGAAACCTTCCAGGTGGATCAACAACGAGTGGGTTGAGGGCGTTGACAAGAAGACATTCGAGGTCATCAACCCTTCCACAGAGGAGGTTATTTGCTCCGTCGCCGAGGCCACCGAAAAGGATGTAGACGTTGCCGTTGCCGCCGCCCGCAAAGCTTTTGAGGGCCCCTGGAAACAGGTCAACCCGCTAGAGCGTGCCAGACTCTTGAACAAGTTGGCCGATATCGCAGAGAAGAACACAGATCTGTTGGCTGCCGTCGAGTCGCTTGACAATGGCAAGTCGATCAACATGGCGAGAGGAGATGTTGGCGCAGTGATTGCCTGCTTGAGATATTATGCTGGCTGGGCCGACAAGATCACCGGCGAGACCCTCGACCTCAACCCCGAAACCTTTGCATACACAAAGTCAGAACCTGTAAGCACAATGACATGGTATCCTTCCGTGTGAGGGGGAAATACTAACTGGATTCTTTTCAATAGATTGGTGTCTGTGCTCAGATCATCCCCTGGAACTTCCCTCTTCTCATGTTCGCCTGGAAGATCGGCCCTGCTTTGGCCACTGGAAACACAATTGTCATGAAGACTGCCGAGCAAACACCTCTCAGCGCCCTTGTCTTTGCCAACTTTGTCAAGGAGGCCGGATTCCCCCCAGGAGTGCTGAACGTCATCTCTGGATTTGGCAAGGTTGCTGGTGCTGCCCTGTCCTCTCACATGGACGTCGACAAGATCGCCTTCACTGGTTCGACTTTGATTGGCCGCACCATCATGAAGGCGGCCGCTGACTCCAACCTCAAGAAGGTCACTCTTGAGCTTGGTGGCAAGTCCCCCAACATTGTGTTCGATGACGCCGACATTGAGCAGGCGATTTCTTGGGTCAACTTTGGCATCTACTACAACCACGGCCAATGTTGCTGTGCCGGCTCGCGTGTGTACGTGCAAGAGGGTATCTACGACAAGTTCGTCGAGGCTTTCAAGAAGCGTGCTCTTGCCAACTCTGTTGGTGACCCCTTCGATGAGAAGACATTCCAAGGTCCCCAGGTCAGTCAGCTGCAATACGACCGCATCATGGGTTACATCGACGAGGGCAAGAAGGCCGGTGCCAAGATCGAGACCGGTGGCGAGCGACACGGAGACAAGGGTTACTTCATTCAGCCCACGATTTTCTCTGGCGTTACCCCCGACATGAAGATTATGCAAGAGGAAATCTTCGGACCCGTCTGCACCATCGCCAAGTTCAAGACCGAGGAAGAGGTCATCAAGTCTGGCAACGCCACCACCTACGGCCTCGCCGCAGCCGTCCACACCAAGGACCTCAACACAGCCATCCGTGTCAGCAACGCCCTGAAGGCCGGTACCGTCTGGGTCAACTCCTACAACATGTTGGATATCAGGATGCCCTTGTAAGTACCCTCTTGATCCTAGATGACATCCTCAACTCAAGCTAACGTGTACACAGTGGCGGCTACAAGGAGAGTGGCATTGGACGTGAGCTCGGGCGCCTAGGTGAGTCCTATTCCGCTCTACTTGATTCCTTGAAGCATATACTAATACCTCGTGTGTCCTTACAGCCCTTGCCAACTACACCCAGAGCAAATCCGTCTCGATCCGCCTGGGAGGCGCTATTTTCTAAGTACAATAATGATATCCGGCCCTGGGTGATTACTGCAGTGGGGAAAATGAGTTACATGACTATGTATGAACAAATCAAACACAATTGCATACCAAAGTAAAGTCTCTTTTGCGTTTATATTGCCTTCACGTGAGTGGCTGTCGTGAAATACTTTTGAGGCAGTCCCTCAATCACTGATATCCATGGAATATCTGACCCGGCAGATCGTCCGTGACTGGAAGACTTTCCTGGAAATGAGCCTAGCAAACCTCGATGCGAACGCTGCATATCAACTAGAAACACGCGTGTCGTGGCCAGCGATACCGCTATGAGATGACGTTCCTGTGGCCACTGGCTGTTGTACTGGAGTGACGGCCGGTATTAAAGTAGATTTAGCTCAGGCGATGGACCCGTTGAACATGACCATGCTCATGGTGATGCACAAGACTTTGTCACGATATGACTGTTACAAAGTCAAACAGACAAGATATACACAGGTGTCATTATCTAGGTAACTATTCTGCAAAGCTAAAAATCCTATTGTACCACAGAACACCATGTCCGTGCTCTTTTAATCCGTTTTACAAATCCATTCCCGATCATATCATCTAATGGGCTTTGGGCGTACTCATAGGCAGCAGCGCTACCGGCTGACTTTTTATCGTCATCACTACTAGGAACAACATCACAGCTTCTCTGGCAACTGAAAACCAGCCGGGATAGCGGAGGGCATCGGGGTACTCCAGGCTTTGGGACAACCAGTTGAAGCATTGCGGTCCTTTTCGGGAGGTCAGGCAGGGTATTCCTTGATATAGGCATCGTTAATACGTGAAAGGAAAGCTGTGTTTTATTTTTTTTCTCCCCTTTTTCTCCTCTTTTTCTCTTTTTTCTTCTCTTTTTC